TTTTGAGATGGTTTCACCAAGTCACTAACCTACACTAGCAGGGTTGTGAACTTGCAGTCACAAGCCTCTCAGAGTCCTGAGAGTACCGGCCAGAAAAGTTTGTTTAAATTGCACCATCAGCCTTGGGAGCTCACTAAATGTTGTATAACTATCACTGTCCACATTATAAGAAGCATGCCGGTTGTTCAGAAGGAAAGTAACATTGAGAGAATATTTAATGTTTTTTTAATTTGCAGAGGGAAAAATTTTCAAAACGAGAATAGGGTAACAATGATTAATACATTGTGTACTGTTATCTTTAGTTACTTAGAGTACAAGATATCAGCATTTAATTGTCAAAAAATATTAGCACAAACCTTTCTCTTCAATGAACTATGAGAAATAGTACTATAACTATTACATACATATATATATATATATATATTTTTTTTTTTTTGCTTTTCCCTTCCTTCTTTTCTCCATTCCCCCAGCCCAGTTTCTCTTTCCTTTTGAAGTTTCTTCCCATTTTACCATATCTATTTGTACATTTTGGATCTTATTTACTCTTTCAGCTTCTCACACTAGGGAAACAATGTGATGTTTATACATGTGCGTCTGGTGTATTTCACTTATGAATATGGTCTCCACTTGCATCGATTTACCTATAAAAGTCTCCAGTTTATTCTTCTTTATGGCTGAGTAGTATTCCATTGTATAAAAAGACTACATCTTTTTTATCCATTTCTCATGTGATGATCATTTGGGCTGTTTCCAAGATCTAGCTATTACAAAGGGTGCTGCTATAAACATGGTGCACATATATTGCTGTGGTATGATGTTTTTAATTCTTCTTGGAAAATACCCAAAAGGGGACTAGCTGGGTCAAATCTCGAATCCATTGAGAGAATATTTAAGCACATGGTTATCCTGCAATCTCGTGAGCAGTATTTTACTCAAAGAGTGCATCTTTTTTTCCCCCAGGATGTGTGTTAGTAGGGATTGAACCCCAGCCCTTCACACTGAGTTATATCCCCAAGCCTCCTGTTTTTATTTTGAGACAGAGTCTAAGTGCACACTCCTGCCTCTGCCTCCAAGAGCCCTAGGAGTACAGGCATGCCCCACCACCCCCAGTTCACCATCAGCTCCTTCACTGCATGTTCCTGGAGGCCGGAGACGGGGTCTTCCTCACGCTTTTCCCACGGCAGCCACTACCACATCTGGTGTGTGGTAAAGCGTCATTCATATCTGTTGAGTGTATACGTATTCTCAGAGTGAAGGACAGCCTTTAGAGATGTGTTCATCTTGAAGCGTATTCCATTCATTGGCAAAGACACAGTTGCTTCTTAGACCAAACTCGTACTTATTCTGGGTAAGCATCTTAGACCATCTCTTAGTATCCATTAGCATTTATTCGTTCCACAGCTACCATTTCCTGCATGTACCAGACACCATCTAGATACAATAACAAGCACACAGGTCAAGTGCATTATGGCGCCTCCCTTCAAGAGGCGAGGACCAGAATTAATAGACCCACATGGAGAGATAGCTGGGTGTCCGTGATGCTAAATGTTAGGAAGAGCAACGAGCCAGGGAACGGTTTGATGTTGCCGTCTCGCCCTGGCTGCTTGGGAGGGCTCCCTTAGAAAGGTAACATGAGCGGAAGTCTAAAGGAAGTGACAGAGCACGCATGGTGTGTGTTGGAGCGGACGCCCGGGGATGCGCCAGGAGCTTGCTGGGCAAGGAGGCCTGCGAGATGCGGGGGTGGGCAGGGAGGGGATGTAAGGCTGAGGGTGTAGAGGCAGGGCCAGCTCTCGCAGGGCCACCGAGACCACTGTACAGGGTGGGGCCACAGCTCGAGTTTCTTGGGACGCTCCGAGGGTGTTTGGAGAGAAGAGACGGAGCCTGACTTAGTTTAAAGGTTCACCTTCCCTGCCGCGTGGAACGCAGACTACAGCAGAGCAAGCGTGAGAATAGGGAGCCCGGTGGAGGAGCGAGTCATGATCTGGCATACAGGTTCCCTCATGCGTATTAAATTGGTTTTACAGTTCTGTTTAGTGGGCTTGGGAAATTATTTTTTTTCAGCTGATAGTTCACTCAGGTTCAGTTTAAATGGCTGCAGTAGCAATAGAAATTATTTCCTAAATATAATGAGATATACCACTTTTTGTAGCATGGCTGATTGCCAATTCATCATAATACCTTACGTTTATGGAGCGTTTGACAGTTTACAAAGCTATTTTACATTCGCTGGCTCATGTGATCCTCACCGCTCCTTAAGACAGACACAGTACCTGTTACCTCCCTGCGGAGGTAGAAGCTGAAACGTCACACGTTGAGTCCAAAATTCCTCATCAAGTTTGGGTCAGGATCAAAGACTCAAGTCCAGATCTTCTGTCCTCTAGGGTGAATCCCTTGGCTTAGTTTGTTATGTTCAATTATGCCTCAAGATATTACTGTGAAGGGCGTATTGAAATTAGCAAGTTTAATACTCTTTAAAAGAAACAACCAATGAGCAAGATACTGTACTCAGAAGGGATTCTTACAAAGATGGTTGGTGCACGTTCCTTCCCTCTGAACTGGTTTCCCCGGAGTGATGGTACCTCTGCCAGCAAATATCTAGTGAAGTGTCATGCACAGATAAATAGCACGGACAGCAGTGCCACAGCAATTCACAGGACGCCGTGACTTTGATGTCTGAGAAGTGGGGGCAGTGGGGAGGCAGGTGTGTGAGTAGAAGCATGGGCAAGGTTCAGGTCGCTGGAAAATACAGAGGGGTTTCTAAATCTGCGGCTGGGAGGGAGAGGCAAGGGCGGCAGGAACGTTGGGGTTTTGCTTCCTGACAGTGATGAAAGCAGTAGTTGGGGTGCAGGGGTTGATCTGAGGGTCACTGGATGCCGAGTACTTGCAGGCATACAGTGTCCTTGCAAACTAGGCTAAATGTGCACAAGGCACGCAGTCGGCTGCCGTTACAAAGGTACTGCGGAAAGCTGGAAATGCAGTCAGGTTCTTAAATGCACCATGCCGTTGAGAATACAGTCTAGCGATTTTGCTTTTTATTCTTTTTCTCTCTCTCAATCCCCCTTCTGTCTAATGTGTGTCTCACTGAAGGTACATTTTGCTGTATTGGCATACCTCATGGTTTGCAGGTAGCTATTGTAGGAGGTCCGAGTGTGTGTTCATGAACTACCTCTGTCTGATTGTGGTAGCTTAAGCGTGGTTTAAGGTGTTAATATCTAAGAGAACAAATTGTCCACAAGAAAAATACTCAAAGTTGAGGGCCTATGATGACAATTAGATCTGGAAAATAAGGCCAGGCTATGTCGAATGTAAGATAAGAAGTGGGTAGAGAACACGCCAAGAAATGTTTCATTTCCTCAAGGAGAGAAGTGACGTGGTGAAAGCGTTATAGTGAAGGTTTAAGGTAATGGTGCCGTAAGAGTTCTGTTGAAATCAAGAAAAGCTGGAGGTCGAGAGAGCAGTTGGTAAGAGTTCGTGCGTCCCTGTGCGTATGACTTGTATTTAAAGAGAGAGCCACTGTCAGGGTTATAGTGTGTGTTACCTGAAGGGCATGCTGCGGTCCACAGTTAAGCCCTCATCCCTGAAGCATGGTCATCAGCATAAAATAACACCACATGCTCACACTTCCCATTCATTTAGTCGCTCACTCATTCAACAAGTATTTATTAAGCACTTACTATGAGCCTGATGCTCTTTTAAGCGGCGAGGGTAACAGTAGACAATAAAAGAGGCAAAGCCGCTGGCTGCCTTCTTGGACTTCACATCCTAATGTCAGTTAGCCAACGCTAAATGAGCTGGTGTTTGAGAAAATAGTCGGCCCATTGCCTGTCACACAGTAAGCAGGGCTTCATATCTGTCAGTTACCGAGTTTCAACTTGAAATCTAAATGAAATGCCTACCCTTGGCAGAGTGGTTTGTTAGGGTACCTGTTTGCGAGGCAGAAGACTGGGAGACTATCTTATTTACAGATTATTCTAAAAATATTCCAAGCCGAGCGTGGTGGTGCATGCCTGTAATCCTAGCACTCGGGAGGCTGAGGCAGGAGGATCATTGTGAGTTCAAGACCAGCCTGGGCTGCAGAGTGAGCTCAAGGCCAGCCTGAACTGCAGAGCAAGACCCTGTCTCAAAAAAAAAAATTTTTTTTTTTTTTCATAAACAATTATGAGTCTCTTGTCTTCTGTCTGGAATAGTTAAGTTTAGATGCTGTATTAAATATAGCCGGTTGTCTGTCCTAGACCATTTTTGCCATTGAGGATGAAGCGCTGAAGCAGGTGCTGCTGTCTACCATCTAAAAAGTCGTGTGCTCCTGTCTTGCTTGGATGGTTTTTGTGGCCTCCCTGAATTCCAGAAAAGGCTCATTGTTGTCACTGAGGATGTTTGACAGAAGCCCTTTGTGTCATTATTTACCGACTGACTGCTTTGGCAAAAGCTATGTCAGTTCTTTTGTCAACTGTAACCTCAGTCAGAAATGATGTAAGGGAGGAGAAGGATCACTGAAACAAAGACTGGTACATGCGCGCATACGCACCCGCAGACATCTTTTAGGTCAGTTTCTGAGTGTTATCTGAAATAGCGTTTGTCACGTAAAACATGGGAAATGGCAATAGTGTGTTCATTTTCTCGTTGTTTCACTCAGATATGACCTGTTACCCACACCATGTGAGTGGTTTTTCCCTTGTCTTCTTTTTGAACTTAGTGCCTCATAGATAGGGTAGGTAGCTTGTTGGTTATATATATGTAAGGTAAAGCTAACCCTTTTTGTGCAAATTCTTTGTAAGATTATACTTTCTGACCTTCCTGCTTTTCCTGAAATGCTATAGTGAGGATGATGGGTGTATTTACTGGCCTTGGAAGCTAAGCTTTGATTTGTCTTTCACTTGAAATAAACCCTTGCCTCTCTGGAAATTTACGATTCCAATATGGTATGTTGTGCATGTGTGTTTTTCAAAACAAGCACTATCGATACGGGATGGGTGACATGGGCTTGTCTGGTTCCTTTTTAGACGTGAAGCCTTCCAATATGCTCGTAAACACGAGAGGACAAGTCAAGCTGTGTGATTTTGGAGTAAGCACTCAGGTGGGTCTGCTCTCCTTCCGGCGTGCTGTCCCCTCAGCAGCATCCACTTTTATTTGCAGCCCCCTCTCTAGATTGAAAAATCGCCGCGCTGCCAGACAAACAGAAACTCTGCATCTTGTCCTCGGCTGGGAGCGCGTTATTCATTTTTAATCTCCGAGCGAGTTTCCTTCATCAGAATATGATTGTTCATTGTTTAATGACAGTAAAAACTGCTGATATTGTAATTACTACTTACGAATAGCAAACTTCATTGATATGCAGCTTTGATATGAAAGCTTTCTGGCCAGACAAAAGGGAGGGCAGAGTGGGAGCTGTGCCTGGGGAGCCCAACTGGCCCACAATAAAAATTAATATTGGGAGCAACAATGGTGGAGGGCCATTACAATGTGCAGCACAAATTTTAATTAATTTCCATTTTGGGCCTCCCCTGAGAACCCCGGTGATAGTGACCCGTGAGCGTGCTGTGATGTTGATTTGAATTGTAGCCACCTTTACTCCCAGCCAAACACGAAGACCAAAGCGAAGGTCAGCATCATATTATGAGTTGTCAAAGTCTGTTATCCCTCCAGCGTATTTAGTGTTCATTTCATCCTGGTGATGCGCGGGGCTCTGGTCACATCTTGAGCCATCTGACTGAAAGCGAGTGTGTTCAAATTCTACTTCAAATGGATGTTTTATATCAGGCGGGTTTGGGGTACTAAAGCAATAAGCATCCGCTTAAGTGAATTGTTTAAGGTTATCTGCTATAAACCGTAATGCTGCGCTTGTTTAAATTGGAAATCACATTCAAAAGAAAAGAGAGATTTAATCATTTTTAATGCCTTTGTAGATAAATTTGTTCCCTTTTCCATAATTTTTAGTTGATTGATAGGATTGATGATTGTAGGTTAAATGAGGAATAATTGCCCATTTTATTTCCACATTATCTTTATATTGTTCTAACAGACTGTTTTGTCTCATAGCTGGTGAATTCTATAGCCAAGACGTATGTTGGAACAAATGCTTATATGGCGGTAAGTAAACTTATGCAAAAATAACATTTAAAACCAACATCTTTATCTTTATGTACTTGGTAATGTAGAATTCTTGAATTAATTCCACAGCCTTAGCCTAGCAGATCGTAAATTACAAAGTCAATCCAGTCATGATCCGATTTTTAAATCTTTCAAAAAGACAGGAGGGTTTATGCAGGCGCGATCAACTTATCTGACTTTGTTGACTTAACTGGTCAGTTCAAGTGTGAAATTGCTGCATTTTGAAGTTTAACCCGACAGAAAAATTGTACCTTCTAGCATATTGGCTGCCTTTCCACACTGCTTATTTGATTAACCCTAAAGTGTACCAAGATGCCAGTCAATAAGATTGCTTATTTATTTCGAGGAATACAAACATGCTATGTCACCAGATCGGAATTAAATTACTGATGTGGCCAAATTTTATTTATGGATCTCCGAACATAAGGGTTTAGCAAGCAGTTCTCCTTAGAAATTGCACATCTATATTTTGTGTAGTTGTTGGATTCATATATATTACAATTTATTTAGTTTCACCAAAGTAAGTTTGCTAAAAATAAAAAGTAAGTGCACAGAATGAATTCAAAGACCAGTATAGATTTGGCATGGACCTCTTTTTCTTACGTTTCGAGTAAAGGAAGTTATTTGTGTCCAGGAACATGCTTTAGTTTATTAGTTTCCGTAATCACTTCAAGAATGGAAAAGGAAAAGCCAAGCAAGGAGCTTATCTACTGTCAGTTCTGGAATAAAATTTTCACTTTAACATTTTAGAATTAATTTTTATGATAAGGGCTCCACAGTTATGTGGGTATAATACTCCCTTTCAGTTCTGCTTGTCCTTGTGTATAGATCACAGAGTTAAATGAGTTTAGTATAGAATCACGGATCTTGTCCTCAGCCTTCTTTGTTTGTGTAGTATCTTTTTTGTTTGTTTGTTTTTGTTTTTTTAGAGACAGGGTCTCACTATGTAGTTAAAGCTAGCTTTGAACTCAGTACATAGCGCAGGCTGGCCTCAAACTCATGGCGATCCTCCTGCCTCAGCCTCCCGAGTGCTGCGATTACAGACATGCACCACCACACCCGCCTCATATAGTATCTTGATTAAAAGATTTTAATATGGATGGAATGCTGAACCTTATTCTCTAAACAAAACATTTCGTTTTCATTCAGATATCAAAATAGTTATTTTTTGTTTTGCCTTTTTTTAAGGAAAATTCATACTTTTTCAGTCTTTTAAATAGTGTGAGGGGGGAGGTAGATTATCCTCTGACGTCATCATACTCTGTTTTTATAAAACCTGATCTCCTGTCTAGCTCTACCAGATTGGATGAGATTAGTGAGCCACTTTACCGTTAACAAAGCCCCCCTGAATGCTAGAGTATGTCTTTGAAAGAATAGGGAACACTGCGATTTAAAAAAAACAAAAACAACTTCTCAACTGCCCATCATGTGCGTAGTAGCTTTAAATTGCTCTAATAATTAAATTGCATTACACCTAATGTACAAATCCAGATTACAGTTGTCTTTCCCAGGTGTACATTAAAGAAATTACTTTTTTCCTTTTTGTTTATGGATGAATGTGATGCATCCGTCTGTTAATTGAAAGTGTAAGGATTAGAATTATGAAACGTTAGCTCCGATCAGCAAACCTAAAATTGCTTTGCTTCTTGGTGAGTGAATCCTACTCATCAGCTGTGTAGTTCAGGCTGTAAAAAGCCTAAGACACCTAGCAAGAAAATACTGATGACCTGAGAGTGAAAGCAAGAGCTTCCCTTAATTGAGTAGCAGAGTATGCACGGAGGTTTGTGAGCTCAGGGCTTGGGGGCTGGGGACCATGGAAATAAGCCTGTGTCGCTATAGTATGGGTGTTAATTTCTGCCTTCTGCCTGTGGCCAGCCTCTTGAGGGAGAAGGGCTGGGGCGTGGGGGGGGATTGTTTATGCTTTTTTTTTTAAGCCATGGTAGCATTTCATTTTAGCTGGTCTGGTTTATAATTTTGACATCCCCAAGAGGCTGTATGCCAGGTGTCAGCAAACCACATCGCTCAGGCCTGTTTTTGTAAGTAAAGTTTTATCGGAACACAGCCATAGCCATGTGTTTATGTATTGGGTATGGCCGTAGCGGCAGAGTTGAGTAGTTGTAACAGCTGCAGCAGAGAACATACGGCCCACAGGGGCTGGGGATTTAGCTCAGCGGCACAGCGCCTGCCTGGCAAGCACAAGGTCTTGAGTTCGGTTCCCGGTACCGGAAAAAAACAAAACAAAACAAAACATATGGCCCACAAAGTGAAAAATATTTCCTCCCTGGCCCTCTGAAGAAAACGCTTTGCCAGCCCTTGGCCTGTGCGAGTCGGAGCTGTGTCTGAACCAGTACTTCGCAGTCCTCGGCCAGCACCACTGGGCACCTTGCAGCGGTTTGTCAGGGGCGGTGGAAGTGCAGGCCCAGATGGGAACCGGTGGCTGTTCGGCAGCAGTGCTATGCACAGCATCTTTAGGCGAGGAAATAAGAAATAAATACATTGAGAAAACAAGGAGGCGTGCGATGTGCAGCTTTGATTGGATTATCACAAACAGGAGAGAAAGAGGGCACTTAGCAAAAAAGAGTGCTCACTGAGGAAGGACGGACACTCAGAAGCGGAAGGCAGCCTGGCGGGGGTGGGGGATGAGGGAGGTATAATTAGAGGCCATTCCTGACAGAAGCAAGTGATACCCTTATTTTACATCCACTTCGCTCGCTTTTATTTATCTGTACTTCTGTGCGGTGATAATAACATCAGTAATAATAACAGCTCGCACTTAATTAGCACCATGTGCCAATCATTCTTCTAAGCTCTTCCGTGTATTAACGTGAAATCATCACAACAACGCCATGAAGTAGGTGGTATTATCTTCTCATTTTACAGATGAAGAAAATGAGGTAAGAGAAGTTACGTGACTGGCTTCAGTTGACTCAGCGAGTAAGTGGCAGGGTGGGAATTCAGACCAACGCGATCCACCTTGGGGACCGAGCTCTTCACGGCTGGGCTTTTCCCTGTGTCCCGGTCATTTCTGTGGCGCTTCCTGTGCTGGTTAGGAGCTTCATAGGGCCAGGGTTGATTCTGCTCACTCTCAGCCCTGTCCCTCCACCAGGACCCAGGGAATTAGTTCATGACAGCTCTCTTCCAAAAGTGTCATGTTCACTAATTATAAGCAGAGAATTTAACCTTTTTTATTAAGCTTCTTAATTATGCATCATTGTGCAAGACCCCAAATTACTAAATATAGCTGGTGAAACTGCTTAAGTATTGAAAAGAAAATAAATCAAGAAGAACCCTGCATGTGTAAACTGTTACCTTATTTTCCTGTAACTTCAAATGAAAGGTGCAGGGAAAATGACAATTAAAAAAAGACGGAAATTCCGGGCGTGGTGGTGCACGCCTGTAATCCCAGCACTCAGGAGGCTGAGGCAGGAGGATCATTGTGAGTTTGAGGCCAGCCTGGGCGACAAAGTGAGCTCAAGGCCAGCCTGAACTGCATAGCGAGACTCTGTCTCAAAAAGACCAAAAAAAAAAAAATACAGGGAAACGTTTATAACACCCTAAGTCATCTTAGTGGGGGAAAACCCTTCTGCGCTCATTAAGCAATACGGTTTGTAAGAGATTGGGAAAGCCATAATCCAACCCTATCATGGGCCAATCAGAGACAGAGACCTAGAAAGCAAAACATCCTGTACAAGGACATGTGCTTTTTAGGGACAAGTAATTATGTCTAATAGACACCTTCATCCAGAATATGGAAGACTTGCGACTGCTTTTCACAAGAATTTTGTCCAGAGGATTGTAAAGAGTCCAGAGGCTGGTGTTTATTTTAAATGAACCATTTCTCGAAAGTTTTAATTGTTAAAAATTTTGCCTAGTCTTGGGAGGAGAGGGGAAAGAAGGAAGGAAAAAGAAAAAAGAATAGAAAGGAAAAAATGGAAACAAAGCTTTTGTAAATAAGGAGAGGAAGGGGGAAAAAAAAGAAGAATCAAGATTTGCACAGGTTCAGATTCCCTGTGGTGAGTGCGGGTTGGGGCCCACACATTCAGAGTGGCTGATTTTGCATACTTCCCTAAGGGGTCAGTGGAGGCTTGGGATGATTGGTATCACCCTCTTGAGATTTCCCATTAGCTCTTTAGGGATGGGCCATCCTCTCCCACCCAGTAAGACTAAACTAAAACCACTAAGATTAAAAACACTCCAGGGCAAGATCCCTCTTAGCATAAGATCTCTCTGCCCTTTTGAGTCATCCTGAGATTATCGGCCCATCGGCTAGCCCTGCCTGCGGTTGTGCACACCGAGTTAATAGTGGCTGCCTGGAGTGTCTTTGTCTCTGCCTGTCCTGAGACACTCACCTCCCAGACCCCCTCCGTGCATTACTAAATTTGTGTCTGTTTCTTATTTCATCCTTTTGCCATAACCCTCATAAAGGCAGTTGGGGATCTTGGCCAAGTCCCCGATAAATGTGACCGTTATGTGCATTTAAAATGTACCAATAGGGGGCCCGGGATATAGCTCAGCGGCCTAAGCCTGCCTGGCAAGCACAAGGTCCTGAGTTCAATTCCTGGCACCAAAAAAGAAAACAAACAAACAAACAAAATGTACCAATAGGGATAAGGATTTAGCTCAGTGGCACAGTGCCTGCCTGGCAAACATGAGGTCTTGAGTTCCAATAAAATAACAAAGCAGCCAGGTGTGGTGGCGCACGCCTGTAATCCCAGCACTGGGAAGGCTGAGGCAGGAGGATCATTGTAATTTTGAGGCCAGCCTGGGCTACAAAGTGAGCTCAAGGCCAGCCTGAACTGCTTAGCGAGACCCTGTCTAAAAAAATACATAATACAAAAAAAAAAAATTAACAAAACACAGGCATATCTTTTAAAAACTACCAAAAAATTGAGAAGGGAACAAGGAGATGAATCTTTTGCAATAGGGTGGTGGTCCAAGGGGAGAAATGCGAGGGGTAAGGAGAAGAGGAGGGGAAATAAGTAGAATAAAGATGTGGCGTGTACAGGAGCCTAATAACCCCAATTACAAACATTATATGCCCCAACATGAACTAAGATCAGTAATACCAACAAGAATGAAAAATGGGGAAGGGGAATTGGAACAGGAGGGAGGGGGAGGGGAGGGGAAGTGGATTAAAAACAAAAGAAACAAGCTGCAGCACATACACAGGTAACCACACCCCCAGGTGATTGCAAGCTGCAAGCACTGCAAACGGGTACTAATTAAATAATCAGGAGTTTAAAAAAAATTTTTACTCTATTCTTAATGTGAAAGTCCCTAAAACTTTAACAAACTGTTCAGTCCTTGTTTTTGCATTGTAGTTTTAGAATCAAATATGAAAATTTGAAATTTTTATGACTCACTGAAGTTTTGAAATTAATTTTTAAAATGTTGCTCAAATATCCTTAGGGATCAGAAATTCAATCGAAATGGCTATTCTTATCTTCTGAATGTTTTTGTATTTTGGTTTTTTACTCAAGTCATTCCAGTCCTTGGAAATGTCTACCTGGAATAAAATCTGTATAGGCTGGGCATAGTGGCACACGCCTGTAATCCTAGCACTCAGGAGGCTGAGGCAGGAGGATCACTGCAAGTTCAAGTCCATCCTGGGCTACATAGTGAGTTCAAGGCCAACCTGAACTACATAGCAAGACCCTGTGTCCAAAAAATTAATTAATTAAATAAATAAAACCTATGTAGAGCATACACTGTAGCTCAGCTGGTCACACTCATACTGTGTAGTAGAAGTGACAGAGGCCAGGGTTTACACTCCCACATGGCACAGAGAGAGTGGAAAAACCTACACACCTTCCCCTAATCTTCGCACAACCCATAAATTATCATTATCTCCATTCTACAGATAAGGAAACCAAAGGTGAAATAACTTTAGCCCAGGTTCTTGGAGTTGGCACCTAATAAGAGACAAGATTTTAACTAGGACACCAGCCCCTAGTTTCTTTGAATAGCAGGTTAGATTATTGGAATCAGCTCTTTGGTTGAAAATAATGCTAGTTTAAAAAGTTTTAACCATCTCAAATGCACTGGAGAGCTAAAAAGATAAAGGGGCATTTCCAGGGAATTTTCTCCTATTTATTTATTTATTCATTCATTCATTCATTCATGCTTATTAGGGAATTGAGCTCAGAGCCTTGCCCGTGCCAGGCAAGGTTTCTACCACTGAGCGCTCTCCTCAGCCTTTTTTATTTTATTTTGAGACAGGGTTTTGCTAAATTACCCAGGCAGGCCTTATACTTAAATTCTCCTGCCTCAGCCTCCTAAGTAGCTAGGATTACAGGCAAGTGTCATCACACCTAGCCCATGACAATTTTTGAGTGAAATCCTACAATAGAGAGGAAAGCAGAATGTCAGAGCACCAGAGTGCATCTTTGGATACCATACTCAGGCCAAAGACGCAGCAGAGTCCAGGGCCCACCCCAGGCAGAAGCTCTCAACAGAAATCTTCCCTGTTGTGTGCTGGAAGCCCGAGGAGTGTGGCCTTAGTGTAGGGGCAAAAGAATCTAAAGCTGCTCCTCCTCCTGCTCCCTGGGAGCCAAAGAGGCTTCTCCGACCTCAGCAGAGAAGCAGGCTGGGGAAAGGCTGTGACCAGAGACGACGACCTCCGCCACTCATTTGTGGCCTGCATAGACGCCCGTGTGAGCTGAGTTGGGAAAGAAGTTGGATGCCGGGAACTGGCTGAAGGCGGCATGTCCACTGAAGGTCTCAGAGAACCTCTCTCAAATACTATTCAAGAGGAAGAACTTGCAAGCAGTCAAAGAAAATCAGACACAAAAACAAGGCTGCCTAAGAAAAGCCAGGCACAACAAGCAGCAGAAACAGATGCACACAGACTGTTCAGATCCCACATTTCAGAAGCAACGTAGCAGATCTGAGAAGGTCTGAAAGAAAATTTCCAGATTAGAATTCAAAACTCACTGCCTTTGATAGCCTGTGGGACACAACAGAAGCAAGAGTAATGACAGGATCTGAATTAGGGCAGTCTGACTCTGGAACCCTCATTTAACCAGTACGCTGTGCTACCTATGAAAGGATCTTGCCAACCCAAACATAAATAAATAACAGAAAACAAACCTGCCGGGAACAGGGGCGCATACCTGTAATCCCAGCTACTAAGGTGGGGGCCAGCCTGAGCAACTTAGCAAGACCCTGGTTGAAAATAAAAAATAGAAAGGGCTGGAAACATAGATACAGGTGGAGAGCCCCTGGGTTAAATCCTCAGTGGAAAAAAAATTCCTGTCACCATGATGCACATTTTGATGACTGCTGGCCTAAACAGTTTGCACTGTCTGGTTAGTTTTCGGAAGCCTAACTCTGAGCTAAAACTTCTTTTTCGGAAGAGATGAGGCACATACCTTGATATCTTTCTGCTCTTGACAAGTAGACCCCGGGGTCGTAAACAGACAGTTCTGGAATCAGTTACATACGCGCCCTGTGTAACTGCCCAGTCACAGCTGGAGGGAGTGGGGTGTGAGCACCAGCTTGAAGCCACAGCCTTTGCGGAGCCACTGTGACTTCCGCATTGTGGATCCCTACCCGCCGACTGTTCCTGTTAAGAGAAGGCAAGGAGTTTGGTTTGGTTTGCTCTTCACTGAAACCTCAGTACAGCTGTGCTGCACATGAGTCTGTGTTTGTATCACCCAGTCCACCCCGCTGACAGCTGCTTTGTGAGAAAGGAGCCCCAGCCTTCGTTGTTTCACGGCCCGGGGTCCATCCCACACCTTCTTTCAGTATTTCAGCAGTGTGATAGCCATGGTTGGGTTTGCTGCATTTTGATTTGGAGGAGGGGGAGAGAGCAGGCCGCCTGGGCATCAAGTGTGAGACTAGCTTTGAATTCTGCAGCCACAGGCTGTCACATCCTGGCTCTGAAAATTCAAACCAGATCAGGGCTCATTTTGTACCTCAGGCAGTGGCCGGGACCTGTGCGTTTCCCTGTCTACCTTACGCATTGTTTAGAATCGGGTGCCACAGCTTGCTGGGCAAGCTTGCGGTATTTTTGCTCTAACATTGCATCACAACAGTAATCTCATTTTTTGGTGGTTGTTGTTGGCTCTTTGCCAGGATTTTTCTGACAAGAGAGTGTCAGGATCTCACCCTCAAGGAGCTCTCTTATTTGCTACCTGATATCTATGAACATCATCACTTTTTGTATTTTTTCTAATTTAATTTCCTGTGCTTGATTTTCAGTTTGCAGTCCGCATTTGCTTTGGCAGTTCCGCGGGCAAATGTAATGAATGTGTTCAGTCCCGTTGCCAAAATACTCTGTATGTGGTTTCCCCTTCTACTTGTGTGTTTGCTTTTTGTGTGCTCGGGGTGCAGTGCTGTGTAGTGCTGACTGTCAGCCAGTGGAAGGAAGAATAGAGAAATCTTAAGTGACTGGAGCTGAATGTAGCAGAGAATCACCCGGAGAACTTATGTTTTAAAATGAGGATCCCCAGAGTGCCCACCCACTGCCCCAAGATTCTGATGCAGGAAGTTCATCTTGGTAAGCCCCTCAGGCAGTTCTCTGATAGCTGTCCAAAGATAGCGCAGTAGAAATACTCGCTAGATCAAGACTAGCTTCTGTGACTTTCAGTTCCGGGGACAGTTTGACAGGCTGGAAAGGATTTTGCAATCAGATACAAGTAGGTTTGAATCCTGGCTCCGCTGCTGGACAGGTCACTTAATGCCAATCCATAGCTCCAGGCTTGGTCACGTCTCAGGCCTTCCCTCTGTAGAGGGGAGCCTGTAGCCTTTCCCTTTGCGAGGTTCCTGGAAAGCATTGAGGGTTCAGAGCTCCTGGCCCATCATCTGACACAACCAGGTGGCACAATCAGTGCGGGGTCATTGCTGCTGTCCTTGTGTACCAGTAGCGCATGCAGCATTTCATGTGGTCAGTAAGTAAACTAAATGTCTCCAGGCCTCATTTTCCTCATCTGTTAAGTGGGGATGATGATAATAGCAAACTCGTATGTGTATTTGTGAATCTGAAGGAAGACATGCATGAAAAGCACTTAGTGCATACGATGATGGGATGGCTGTGGCAACAGGCCTGTTCCCATCACTGCTGCAGCTCCATATGAATAATCCTAGTACCTGTTGGGCCAGCAAGTGTGGGTCCTTATCCCAGCCGTCATACCTGTCTTCAGCCTTGACCAATTATTCCACCTTTTCGAGGCCTCAGTTTCTTAGCCATTTGTCCGTGTGTTCGTTCTGAGCCCTCCTCTGAGCACCCTACTGAATGCCAAATCCTGAAGGGCAGATCAGAACGCATCTCTCAGTGTAAAATTACTCCCGTTGAAGCAGAGTGTGTGTGTCTTACAATGTGTCTCGAATCCATGATGGGTGATATAAAGCATGGGACGCTAGGTGAATGAAGGTACAGGAAGTGTGAGTGTTCTTCACACTAATCTTATTCTTTCCACTTCGCTATAAGCTTGAAATTATTTCTAGGTAAAAGGTCCTTCCAGGATAGACGATTTGATGAGATTTTACACATATGCACTCATATTTAATTATATATCATTTCCGGATATTTTCAGTGTAATCCACACATACATACACACGTGTGTGAAATTGCTTTGCCATCCATAAAATGCTGCAGCGGTGTTGGTGCCCCCCCCCCCCCACCGAGATGTGCAGTGTACGTTTTTCCCAGAATAGCACATCACCTCACAAAGTCCTTTCTGCTTTCTTACAGCCTGAAAGAATTTCAGGAGAGCAGTATGGAATTCATTCCGATGTCTGGAGCTTAGGAATCTCTTTCATGGAGGTACAGTGTTGGTTACAGACACTTCTAAGCATGTTTGCACTCATGTTCCATCAGGAAGAGTGGAGACTTTGAAAGGAGAACATTTTCATTGTGTTACGTGCGCGTATGCAGAGTTTGACCCTACAGTCCCTTCCCTGACACCCTTGCGTGGTTACGGACTGAGTCGGGTCATTCTAAAGCACTGCTGCTCGTGGATGTAAGACAGATGCTGAAGTGCTTGTTATCACAGATTTGAAAGGCAGCTAAATCCCAGTCTGAATCTGAAGAGCCTGTGTTCTAAAAGAAGGGCTCCAGAAAACAGCTGTGTGACAGTGGCTTTGTAGAATGCACGTCTGACACCCAAAGGTGACTGCAGTGCTCTGATTACAGCCCACTCCTTTGGATGTGTAAGTTCTGTGTTTGTGTAAAGCCACCTCGTTCCAGTATGGTCAGCTCACATGGGGGGGGCATGCTGGGGGGCGTATAGCATAATTTCATACTGTTATTCTTCAGTGCTGTATTTAGAATGGACTTTATCTTAGGTGCTAGGTGCAGCCCCACTAGGACTCGGCCTGAGATTTCTTTAAAATGGCCATCTGACCGCTATCACAAGGACAGCTGGCCCAATCGGAATTACAGTAGTACAGAGCCCTGGTACGCACCAGGGCTTCAAAAATGCTTTGTCAATTCCACTGATTCAGATCAATTAGAAGAAGTAGAAGAGACTCTAACAAGTAGAAAGGACTCTTTAAATAAGGTCAGGGAGGTGCAGTCACAGTTTTCTCACAGCCCTTTCTTGAGTCAAATACTTTTCCTGTGCTTTTCGTAACGCATGAGTGCTATCACCTTTGCAAGAAAATATCTTCAGACTTAATTCACTTGCACGGTGGAAATAGAACAAAAGTAAAGTGTTCAGTGCTTATGAAACCATATTCTCCTGCTTCTTCACAAAAGAGCGCCCAAGAAGAAATACGGTACATGCGTAGAAGTTCCCGGCGAGAAGCAGCTCAGAGCTCAGTCTCGCACAAGTCCTGATGGGCCTGCTCTGTTCTCTCGTTTCTGGGGAAACCAGCGCTTTCGATCCCTGGGACTCGCGTCTTGCCATCATATAATTCCCCTTCATTCACTGTGTTTTAGAGAATAACTGAGAGGTGACGTGGTGTAAGCTAGGAACCCCGAAGGGCGTGGAAGGCCTGGCCTACAGCTCCGGCTTTGCCACTCGCTTCCTGGGCGGCCCTGAGCCCACCCCTGCTCCTCCCTGGGCCCAGCTTCTTCGTCTGTAAAATGAGAGCCACTTCAGACTGACTCCCTACAGCTCTGCTGCTGCCCCTCCTGCCCTTTCCTGAGCTTCACGCAGCAGCCGTGGGGGTGCGGCTGAGACAGGGACGCCCCGCGCATGGCACAGAGCGCAGAGCTCAGCGTCCCATTGGAGCAGAACCAGCGGGTTCCAGATGTGGAGCGCGCATCTGTGCACGCTCATCCCCTCCCGACGCTTACACAGTGGAGCCCCTGCCGCCCGGCCTCGAGGAGGGCGGGTACAGACTGAGGCAGGGACTCCGCTCCTCACCCTCGAGGAGTACATCTCCGAGGGAAGGGCGGGGCTCGAGGGCAAGGACGCAAAACCTGTGCCGACCGAGCGAGTGTGTAGTGTGGGTGGTGACGCAGCCTGTGGAGAACAGGAGAGCAGGTAACGCTTTACCCCCTCTGGTAAAGCGCTGTGCACGCGGAGACTCGAACGCCGCGGAAGGGGGGAGCCACCTGGTAGCAGCCAGCGCGAAGGCACCGGGCTGGGTGCGCTTGGCACACACAAGGGAAGCGCAGACCGGTGAGGCTGCCGTGGAGGCAGCAAGGGAAAAATGGGCAAAACAAATGCGAGGTATCTCCAGGGGCCATCATATACAGCCTCGAAGGCCAGGCTCAGGACTGGAGGTGTTACTCTCGGAGCAAACAGTCTGCCTCGGATCCTCAGAGGATCCCTGAGGGCTCTGTGGAGAGTGGCCGCAGAGAGGCAGACGGGGAAACAGGAGGTCCGCGAGGTAGGCAGGAAGGGAGAGATGCCCAATAAATATATTCACTGTGTTGCACTCGGAGCTAGGTGTCTGCCAGGATTTTGCTGCGTACTGAGGATGCAGAGAATAATAGAAGAGAGCCCCTTTATCTCGTAGGAAGACAGGTTAGTGCTGATGTATTGGGAGAGGGCATTGATCGTGCTCATTTATCCCGGAGGTAAACTGTTAAATAGCCTGGGTCACTGAGGAAAGCAGGGTCATTGTATTTATAAGACTGGGGAGGATTAGGTCTCAGGAACTCTGAAAAAGGGTCGTCATTGAGTGCAGAGCACCTGTGTGCAGAGGAGTATGCTGGCCCACACGGCAAAGTGGAGAACGGACGCTGGCCACGTGGTCAGGAGCAAGACCAGCTTCAGGCCTGCAGATGTTCCCTGTGCCTTACCATGGGTGGCAGGAAGTGAGTTGGAGGATGTTCGGATTCTAAACTCTTAACAGCTACACACACCTAATACGGATGGATACACTGGTGGTTCTTCTCTGCAAAGTCAACATTAGCTATACCCACGCAGGTGGATGAACTGACTGACACAGTAAAGCAAGGGGAAGAGATGTTGCAGGATGTAAAGCAGTCTAATTATGATCATGAAGAAAGGTTGTTGAAATGTTGGGTGTAGTGACATATGTCTGTAATTCCCATATTTGGGAGGCTAAGGCAGGAGGATCACAAGTTAGAGTCCAGCCTGGCAACTTAGTGAACTCCTATTCAAAAAATCAGGGGTTGGGGTTCTGGGAGTGTAGCTCATTCGTAGAGCGCTTGCTGAGCATGTGTGAGACCCTGGGTTCCATCCCCAGCACCACTAAAAAGAGTGATTGGAAAGGATGGTTGAGTACCTCTGTGTAGAGGGTGCTTAGCTAAACACCTTTAAATGAAGCCTGGGACCACAGCTCCTGCCCCCTAGGAACTTACGGCCTGCCACACCAGCAAGTGACGAGTGACCAACCCAAGTATGGGCCAGTAAGTCGTGAGAGAACAGAACAAGACCCCTCTGCGATTTTATGCCGGGTTTCTTTGGGATCCAGGATAAAGAAAACATGCGACAGGGAAGGGGAGAAGGAGGATTTGAGTCTAAAGATGAGCTGTCCTGGGGGCGGAGTAATGAGGACTGCAAGAGAAGCCTTCTGTCCTGTTTCCTTAGGGGCTGATGGACCGACCTGAAATGGCGGAGAAGTTGGTCCAAAAGAAGCACTTAAAGGTCAAGTTCTTGGTTTTTCCCACAGTGCACTTGCTGTAGGTGCAGTGAGCCCTGTTTTAACTCCCTGTGGGCCGAGAGAAGTGTGAATTGCAATAGCGTTTGGAAAGCTGAGGGGCACATTGCAGCCTGAAATGCAGTCCACGCCTCCAAAGAGCTGCTTCTCTTCCGGTCTTACTTCTCAAACAAGATTCCCTTCCTAGGCCTGGGCTCCAGAGAACAGAAGCTTCTGTTCATTCCTTACTTTTCACTTAACCAGGTGCCCTTGGGCAAGCCAGGGGTGGCGCACACAAAGCTGAGAAGAGCCCAGGTCTGGTAGAGAAGACGCCTGACGCCCGAGACCGTGTGCCGAGCCTTCCATAGAGATGCTCGTGCCGGACTCGAAGCCGCTGGGGATGGGCCTGCAGAGGGGCCGCCCTGCGGGGGAGACTGGTATTGGAAGGAGCTCACCCCTAGGAGACAGCAGGGAAAGATGGAGTGCCCCCCATGTCTGGCACTAGCTGGATCTCTGTACCCTAAGGAGAGGGCAGATGTCAAGGCAGCAGCGTCTCCCCAGGCACAGTTTCCCTGCCCACTCGCATATGTAGCTTCCTCAAGGTGTTTGGAGCCAACCACTTCTTCCCTTAGGTACCTACGATACAGACAGAACTAGAGGACACTGAGCAAAGAACTTCCCCAGTCACCCCAGAATCAGCGAGGCAGATGGGAGCTGGAGCGTCCTGTCCCTCCTCTTGCCACTTCCGGAAACTCCCCTCCCCGAGCCCTGGTGGTGCTGGGCCAGGGGTTGCCCTCCTCGCTTCAGACTCCGCAGTAACGGGTTTCGCCCTGCCTGCCTCCCGCTGGCCCTCCCCTGGTTAATGTGCCGTCACCATCCCGGTGGGGAGTCATAAGGAGGTCTTGCACCACGCTCTTTCACAAAAGATGATGCCACACGCACTCAGTATGCCAGCTTAAAAATCACAGACAAGCACACTGGTGCCTTAAGCAAAGAATCTTTAGTATCAGACTTTTTATCCAGGGACTGACCTGCTCCTGTCTCCTCTCGGCTCAGTGGCCCCTGTTCAGGGGACACGTGGCCTCCAGGACTTTGTGGGTTGTGTGAAGTATTTGGAATTGGCATAAGTGACTTAGAAATGGAGATTATTCTTAAGAAAGGAACAAGTGAGATTGTTCAGCATGAGCAGAGCGTGTGGGTTTCCCAGCCGGGAGGGTCTGGCCCTCTTCTCCCCGGCGTGTTTACCTTTAACTGTGTGGGGGCCCTCCTGTGTGTGAGTTTCAGAGTCACATGAAGGCGGTGGGCTGATGTGAGGAGTGTGTGGCTCGCTCCTGATGGGACAAAGAGCCCTGTGGAAGTGTGGTTCATCCTCAGAGTGTCACTAGGAAGTGCAGAAAGAAAAGGAAAAGCTCACAGAAAAGGCTCCAAAGTTCCTGACCGGGACAAACCGTAGGGTTAAACCTGCCGCACAGTGTGTGTTTGCCTGTCTTAGGAAGCTCGTACTGATGCATTTGACAGCGTGAGTTTTAGGATGGTTCTCCCTGGTACTATAGTTGCTCTTCAAGACTTGAGGGCTGAACTCAAAAATGAAAGAGTTTTATGTGGTACATAAAAAGCACTTCCTTTTACCAAGTGTGAGGGCTTTATTTAATCCTTAGAGGAAAAGATATCCAAACATGTTAGGCACAGTTTTCTGATTTCACAGGCAGTTTAGTTCTCATCTCTTCTCGCAGAGAATGGCTTGAGGGAAGAGTCCTGTTCTTTGTT